TGGGAAGTTTTGTCACATGAGAACGTTGTTCGTCGGTTTTTCAACGCTACTTCGAATAACTTTATTAGGCTGTCGTTTAACTGGCAGGCATTCCAAATTCCAGCTATGGGGTACTACAAAAAATACTTTCCAAAGTCGACTCAGGCAACGGCCATCTTGGTCCTTCTCATTTTACAATTCTGAGATAGCGCCTTGCCCACAAGTACCTGGTCCTTATATCCCTTTGATTTCATCCGGCAAACCCTTTGTTCAGGAAATATGTTGCGCCCTTTAGATGTTCGTAAACTATATTAGCTAATACAGGTTTGAGAAGTTTTCAGGTCCTCTAAGGGCACGTGATGGAATTCTAGTTAGTCATTACGCCATAACCCCTGTAGTTCAAGACCAGGTGTGTCACTTATTCCGTTAACAAAGATGGTCCTTCTTCAGGCACTTTCTGCAACAGTACTACTATTTGCGAATGCAAACAAGTTTGCTTTTAAACCAGAACTCATGCTCTTGATTAGGGTCTCGTGAAACGCAGCTTTTCGCCTTTCTTTTCACTGATTGTAACCTGAGGTTCCATTGCAATTCTTTTGTATTTCATTTAACCAGTTAGATTCTTTGTTGTCGACACTATCATTATCTCATATCCTTCTGCAGAAATAAAACAATTCTTCCGCGTTAGACCACTGGTCTTTGCATGACATTGCGGTTTGCTCTTTGCCAGCAATTTTCCACAGAAGGCTTTGGGATATCCAAAGGTTCTGTCCTGGTATGTCTGAAGCTTCGCAGATACAGCTTCTGCACAACGTCCTCGAACGCAGCTCTGATTGTTTTCTCTGATCCAATACAGTACTTTTCCATTATATTCGCTACTGATTTCTGTCGCCCCATTTACTTGCTGCAGTTGGTTTACTTCTTGGTGCACTTCTTCCCGTTATATTGATTTGTTCTTGATTCTTCTTAACCGTGGCGGCACCTTTTCTTCTCGGAACTGTTCCCAGCTTAACGCAGTGCTTCATTGTTATTATAGAAGCTGCCGTAGCAACTGGCTATCCATCCCATATGTTTGCAGCCATGCCAACAGACTGTTGTGTGGAATCCGGTCATACGCGTTTTTGTAGGTCAACAAAGTAGATGTACGCCGAATGGAAGAACTCCAACGATTGCTCAACAATCAGATACAGGGCAAATATATGGTCAGAGGTCTTCGACCAGGCCGGACGCCACACTGCACTTGTATCTTGGAGTCAGTTATTCCGCAGCACCTCCTTTCTAACACCACTGAGTAGGCTTTACCGGGAAGACTCAATATGGTAATACCACGATAACTGGAACACTCCGTGTCGTCTCCCATCTTGAACAGCAATACAAGAACTGTCATTCTCCAATCTCCTGGTGTCTTCTTCGCAGCCACTGCAGTGTGACAGACACATATGAATCAACACATACACTGTACGTCTATCTGCTTTCAGCATTTCAGGGTAATTTCATCAATTCCAGAAGCTTTTCCACTTTCCAGGCTTATCGCAGCTTGTAAAATATCATCTGCAGAAACAGTAGTATTCGTACCCTGCTGCTCCACAGCCAGGATTTCCTGCTAGTGCTCGGGGTTAAGTAGTTCCTTAAAGTACTCTCTTCATCGCCAAAGAATGTCCTTGTTATCGGTAAGATGGTGTTCAGACCTTTCCTCCACGACTCTAAGACTGCCCTTCTTTTCATCTCGGAGCCCGCGAATGGTCTGCCAGAATACGTTGTTTGCCGTCTGGAAATTCGACTTCAACATCTCACCGAACTTCTCCCAGGTATCAGCTTTGGTTTTCGCCACTGCTCTCGATGCCGCCTTGCGTGCTTCAACATACCGCATATGAATAAATGGCTGTTTGCTTCCAAGCAATTTGTTGAATGCAATCCTCTCTTTTTCTGCCAGTTGTGTCCACCAGGAAGATTTATTCTGACCTCCAGGTGGCAAGCCAAACTGGTTAAACACGCAGCATTCGGCGGCAGCCTCCAGTCTGCCGTCCTTAAAGAGCTGCCACTCGGTTTCCACATCACTGGTCATCACCGGGAACTGTTCGGATCGTCGTGTGATGTTGTTCGCAAATTTCGCTCTCGTGTTCACTGAAGATGTTTCCATTTGATTCTCTGGTTGCTTCTGCCACCAGATCTCGGTATGGTACTCCATTTCTTACATCACAGCGTGTCAACAACAAGGCGGTGATGGGTTGATAGCTCTGCGTCTTTTAACGCGAATATTCATTACTGAGCGTCGAAAGTCAGGCGATACGATTATCAAACCAATCATCGACTTCTGTGCACAAGCTTCCCGGTACCAGATATACTGATGCACACTTCGATGCTGAAAGGTGCTGATAATAAACAGTCCGCTGTTCGCACAAAACTGCAACAACTTCAGGTCATTATTGCTGAAATCGCTGGGACCGTTTTTTCAAATCAGGACGCTCCACTTTTCAGCTTCTACTCCGAGATGCGCATTAAAATCGTCATGAGTACGAGGGACTCCGTATTTGGCACTTCATACATAGCACGCTCCACTTCCTCAAGGAAGGTACCATATTCTCCCTTGAAACTGGGTGCATAGACCTGTAACAAGGTCAACGTTTCAGCCTATTGAGCTTCAATCAGAAGATTGCAGCATTTCCGCTGAGAGGCTTCAATTAAATGATTCTACCAGCCAGGATGGGTTCTACCAGAACACCAACACCGGCCTGAGCGTACGTCGTGATATTGAAACCTGAGTAGAATAGCTCCCACCCGAAGAGTCAAGGCGCTTCGTTGACGAGAGTTGGTACTTTGTGGCGTCTGCTCATTTCATCTGAGTGAATATATTCCAATTTCCAACTGTAAACTCCTACTGGAGGTGCCGTTCTCGTGAAGACTGTAGTGATGTGCTATAATGCCATAATTGCAAGATTTTAAGAAAAATGTAAACGAGTTAGATTCGGTTCAAGAAAAGGGGATGTTTAAAGCTTAATTATTATTGAATTCTGTGCCGACAAATACTTTTTTAAATGCATTTACAAATAGTCAATTGGTAAAGGTTTACACTTCCTTCAACCGAGTCCCAAAATGATCTGGTTTTCACATATGGCATCATCCGTCACAGAACACCGAAAAGACCTTGCGGCCGAAGCAGATCAAATATACTGTCTACGATAGCTTACCATAGCTTATTCATTAGGTTAATACGATTATTGCTGATGGATTATTGTGTAGAGTGTAATCTTGAAAAGGCGAAAGGTTTGCGTAGCCACGCTCTTGCAGACATGAAATCTGTCATGGCCGAGCAGAATATATAACAACTAAGCGAAATGAAATTATTCTTTAACGGGACAGTATTATATAGGAATTCGGCAGCATGTCTTATGCTTTGCCAAGGCAGGAAGCTTTCTGACACATGCGAAAACTATTACTAATCGTCTAAGGCCTTGAAGCAGCCTGCTACATAATATTTGCCAAACTTTTGCATAGCTGCGATCGATCAATCACCAGATAATGTGGCACACGATTCGTTACAACACAACTCCAGCATATAGTCAAGTTACACGAAAAATAAAGTTAATCATGAGGAAGAGCACCGTAAAACGCACAGCAAAGAGGATGTACTAACAATACTATCTGACATAGCTCAAGGCATTCAGCAATAGTTTTACAGACGTTGAGAACGTAGATCATATCATCTTGTAAAGTAAATCCGCAAAGAGACTATTCACATAGGCCAAAGAAACGAGGAAGACAATGTGGAATGGAACTACACGTCAACCAGAAAAACAGGACATAATAGCGGATACAGAAACAGTCAGTTAGAACATATCATGGACCGACGATGCAAACGGTTAACCACTAACAACTCTGATAAGTTATAACCAACGACAGTAGTTGCGACACCCATTAGGAACTCTTAAGACTAGACAGATTTAATCGTAGTTAAAACTCGCCATCACCTATTCAAATGGTAATATACAAACCCTTGCTCTGAAAAGCGACGAGATCACATGAAATTTGAAGTCAGAGGGAAGCAGTTTCCTCAGAGATGCCAATTCAAACATAACTGAGGCAAAATGTAATATCAACAATTGCTGTTTCTCTCACTCAGACAAGTTAATTTACCGCAAAATGCTTCGGTACAACCGGCCAATAAACGAGAAGCAAATGGAAGACCCACAAAAAATTGAGATAGACGAGGTTTTGTTTCGGCTATGTCAGGGATGACAAACTCATGGACACACCGTCCACAGTCATATCAAGTCTAGATCAATAGTCTAGATCAATCTGATAGGTAACTGTTATCAAAAGTTTTAATTAGTACACAGGTATATAATTAAGGAATAAAAACAACGTTGCCTCAGGTGAAGTCTGAAACTGCGACCAACAAATAGGTAAAGAAAGAACAGGAGTTAACTGTCGTGCAAATGTCAACGCCTGACCCGCTCTCTTACAAAACGGCTCTAAAATATAAAAAGATCTATTCAAGCCACTGAATCGTGGGAACGGCACAGAAACGTATCAAGACAACATCTAAAGAAGCTTTAAAGGACAGTAAAAATCCCGAAACTTCAAAAAAAACATGTAGTAAAGACTGGTCTCCTTGTCAAGAGGTACATCATAGCACAGCTGTCCGTACTAGCCAACAAGGCGTAAAATTAAAGCTGAGAATCCGCTTCAAGTAGATTGATAAATCGGTCGTTCAAGCCTTGATAGGCTTGGATAACGACGACAATGAAATGAAAACAGTTAAGGGAATATCTTAATACCATGCGCTTCTAACCATCAATAATTCAATTTTCAACTGGAACTCACAGCAAAAAATTAAACTTTTATGATTAATTTCAATTTATAGCACTTTTAACGGTATTTGCCAGTCCATGCCACGTAACATGACAACGCGTTACCTCGGACAGCTTTGCTGAGAAGTGGTTGCAATTGTTCGTGAGCAGATGGTACCTGTCGCCCTTAAATTCATCGCCCATACCTTGAACAATGATGCTCACGTCTTCTGCGCTAAGTTCCGTGTAGCCGAGAAGAATTGATTGCCTGGAACAAGAGCGCTAAAACTTGTTCTTGCTATTCTAAACATTTTAAATTATCTTACTTGAATCTGTAATTTTCTCCAAGCTCTTCACCATCCTTCGGCACGATCTGGAAAACGCCGCTGAACGATAGCGGGTGACCCCCGTAACCATATTCCCAATCATGAACTTCAACACCAGTATGGTAAACTCCGATTCCCAAATTTGACAAGTAGTCATTCACCCAATACTAAACTCTTTTACATTACAAATCTGACTATTCCTGGGAAAGACCCTTACCATATCGTACACGTTAAGGTACACTGGATAACGGGCCATTCCGAATCCGCGCTTTTCGCTTATTACGCGTGATGCCCACGAATGCGCACACCGCCACAAATCGGGATCATCATAGTGTCTGAAATTCAACCTGCTTATCACAACTGAGCGTTGCAACAAAGCTTTATAACTTCTGATGTTCCAACTATAATTTTGGGATCTACGAAATTTAAACGATGCAAAACTGACAACTGACCAAACAATTTACCTACTCGCAATTGGTCGAAAGAAAAATTCAACGATTTCACAAACTGATCGCAGATGATTTATTTATTAAAAAGCATTATACGCCAAAAAACCTTAATTTATTTCATATCATAAAATATTGAAAATCGTACATGATAAAGTATTGGCCATATTTCTAAAAAATTCAAATGTGCTGATTTTGAATTAATTTACCTGAAAATGTTAGTGACGTAGGTCCCTGTAAATATCGAATATAACGCAATTTCATTAAAAAAAACTTCTTAAACATTATTTACAGGCATACATATATGTTGTTACTACAATACTTAATTAGAAATTTATATTATGTGTCATTCTTCTCAAAAACTCTAAATCATTATTTCTGTCATGATTCGCAACTGCTCTGAAAAGTCTTTCAGTGCTGTCTCTATATTTCTTACGCACAGGGCTACTTTATTGGCGACTCACAAACTCTTCTATTTGCAATGTTCTGATGCCCTGCTCATGCTGAATCGTTACAATAAACTCCCAGATATAAGAGTGTTCTGCAGATATTTGTATTTTGAATCCACGATGCCACCCTTCAATTTAATTCTTTGTCTTCGGAAGACGGCATCTTTCTGCCGAAAAAAGCGAAGTATTCAACATCCCATGCGTCGTTGAGGACGTCCAATCCAGCAGTCTTCATAGTAGTCAATTACGCCTTGTACTTCTTCAGGTATGTTATTATCGCTGCAGCTAAGAATCTAAGATGCTTCTACCAGGTGTTCTGTTGGGACAAAGGCCAACGCAGACAACGATCGCATTTTCATTGAAAATTCGGCATCAGTTTCGCACCTTCTCTGAAGCTCTTCAGCCTAAGTCCTTCGGAATATACACTGGGAGAAAGTGAAGAAACATCCTTGCCTAGCCCGTAGAAATTCTTGATGAATAGCATTGACTATGGCAGGTTCAAAACCGGTCACAATTATTTCTAGGGAGGCATTAGGTTGAAATTATTTTACTTCTGGTAATAACCTAACATATGTGGCCTCTATCTTGTCTGGTAGTAGAGCATGCAAACGCGGAATTGAGCTGTTTACCTGAATATCATTGAATGTGTGGGGTTGGTAAAACAAATGAGGCCCAGTTTTAAAAGTTTCTTCTCCAAATTAATGTTCACATGATGCCAATAGCCGGAAATCTCTTGCAGTCGATAATATAACTATTCTATCTCCCGTCGGTCCTGAATCAAAAAGCAAGAAAGGTTCACTTTCTTTAAATATTTTGTCCTGCTCGGGAAATACCATTTCCCGTCGGGTCATAGGTGAAGCTTGTCCTTTCCTTGTTCTGATGTTCCGTATCCTTCTTTTAATACTGTACTTCACAAAATGTTCTGTAGCAGCTTGGCTAAGTTTCACAGACGCATTAGATAAAGTATATTGGTGCTTCTTGGCTATTTATTGCACGATCACTTACAACTTCTTCCTCTTTAAGGCTTCTATATGAGCCGTATTTCCAATGTGGTTGTGAACTTCATTCACGGTCTCAGTGGTATCTCCAGCTTTTATTGGACGAACCCGGCACTTGTGCTTCTGATGCATCTCATACTTTCAATATGTCTTGTCAGCTTGTGTTTGTTTGAAAAATAAGTGATCGCCCACTAGATGTTTCTGCTTTCCCTTATCACTCCTGAGGAGCAGAAGGGTCATGACGATTAATGAAAATTCGTAACTAAAGTATTCAACTGGAAGAACTTTTTGAACCCGACCTCTTCGAATTTCTTGAGGCTTTCTATGGGGTTAAGTTAAGTAATTTTTGTGCTCATTAACATATTCTTTCAAATATGCTGATTCTAAATAAATGCATTAGATAAAATTTATTTTTTTGTGGGCAGGTAATATTACTGTAATTAATCTGCTCA